TATATATATATGTTATATGTTGGTATGAACTATTCTCTTTTAACCTTTGAATTGCTCCCTTCTTATAATTCAATTATTTCTTTAGCTTTTCGTCTTCCTAGCGAGAAAAGAATTTTCATTCAGATGTTTGTAAATATGTACGTTTACGCTTTCATGCATATGACAGCTCATTCACTTGACTTTTAAATTATTTGTTGCCATTGCGAAAAGAAATAATGACTTTCCTTGTACTATCGTACATCGTTTGCTTTTCTATATTCTACATTTTAGCATTTTGGAATGGTTTGAATTTAGTGTTTAATGCCCATTCCTTTTTTGAGATATTAATTATTTATCTTTTCTGTTTACTTTTCGAAACATCACAAGAATATGAATTGTAAATTAAAGTTTATGAAAACTCACTTAAACACACAATAACTTGTATTATTTAACTAATTTACTTTTAAATTTTTAATGTCATCGAGTAAAATAACATTTCTGTACAATAAAAATTCAAAATATACAAAATTCAATTTCTTATCAAAATATTAATGCAGTTGAAAAAGTTCTTCAAGCATATGAAATAAGATAGCGCAAAATTATCTATTTTTTTTCAATACATCAAAAAGAAAAGCCCCTCTCAGAGAAAAATAGGGGTTCTATTTTTAGAGAGTGCCTATTTTTTTCAGCTTGCATAAACATCCTATACTACGTTTTAAAAATTCTGTGTTTGTCTAGTGTAATAAGGTTGATTTTGATTATTAAAGGCATTATCAATGGATCAATGGACTTATTTTATTAATTGACCTTTATTGGGAGACAAAATATTGTGTTCAATAATTTTACATAAGCCACCATCTGCTACGTGTCAAAAAATAAAAAAATAAATGAAGAAAAAAAATAAGTAAAACTACTTATAGAGAGGGATCCTGCATAATTTTTCAATACAATTCCCTTTTGAGCAAAATCTCAAAGCTGTCTTGAGGTAATTACTTTCCATAACAATATGTATCGAAAGAATAATAGAATGAATTTGTTTTTCCTTTCTGAAGTGAAACAAAGAAATGAGTTTGTTTGATAAGATTATCGAAAAAGACACAAAGTTCATCGATTGAAAAGTCCTGTTTCATTTTTAACCTTTCCTATTAACGAAGTAACATTCGTAAAATGTTTTTTTTTCCTTTTTTTAAGTTGCCGTGGCAGAATTTTTCGTTTAAGATTACTTTAGAAATTTTTGTGTTATGAAGTTTTCAAGTCGTTAAGACCTTTATAAATTGCATTTGAATAAAAGGAAGAGATTAGATGAAAGTTATTGTGAGAAAACAAGAGCTGTACGTAACACTATAGTTGTATTATTGAATTTTCCTTTATTTACTTCAATACTTTATTTTTTCAAGAAAACTTAATTACAGCATTATTATTGAACTTGTAATTAAAGGTTTGCATAACACATCAAGCCACTGTTCAAACATTTTCCTAACATTTTGATATTTGGAACTAAACACTGATAGAAATATTGATTCAACCCTTACCTATGTTTTACTTCACTGCAACTGTGAAGCCAATGGCCGCAGGTTCGAATCCCGTTCTGGTCATGGATGTTTCTCTCTCTTGTGTTGTCCACTGTTGTGTGTGATAAGTGAATGTGCCCCCCCCCCTATGAACGGGTTTGTGCAGTGTGGCGTGGGCAATGTTACTCGTCTCCGTGACTTTGGTTCACAGGAACCCACTGGGTAACGCGAAATGAGTAACAACTCTGGCATCTTCTAAGGCGAAACGAATAAAGTTCAGTGCCTGCCATTCGGGAAAAAAAAAACTTTACTGCAACTGTAATATCTTGACAAGTTCCACATTTTATCTTTCTTAAACTGTTGATTATATGATATTATGCTCGAAATTAATCAGAAAAATGGTTCAGTTTAGCAGTTTATTAAGGTTTTAGTAAGTATTCTCGGTATTTTGATTTAACGCACTGTGCGCCAAAAAAAGAGAAAAAAGGACCACCCTGTATAACTTTTTATTTAATGATCGGATCCTTACGTTTCAGGACTCAATCTTAATGGCTCGATAGGGTGACCTCAAATATGCTAATAAATACGTGCAAGCTAAGTTTTAAGAAACGAAATCAGGCACAAAAACGTACTTTCTCTGAATAAGCATATCTTTTTTTCCCGACGGATTCGGATTTCCGACCCCCAAAATAGAGGTCAGAACGTGTTAGGAGTTAGCCACGATCTGGCAAATATGGTTCCAATAGTTTGGTCAGGAGAGTGTTCCAAAAATCGGAAACCTGAATCTTAATTTCACCTTTTGCGTATTTTGCTATATCTCGAGAAATTTTTCAGCGAATTGAAAAATTTTTGCAAATAATTATTAAATTCGTTTATCCAAAAGTAACTTTCAGTAAGTTTTAAATTAGCTTTATTAATGTATTTAAGAATGGTCGAAAAATTTTGAATTGCAAGGTATACGTTTTTTACATCATTTTCAGAAACGTAATTTTCTATGGCAAAATACAAAATTTCAGCCGAATCGGGGAAATCGTAACTGAGAAATCACATTTTAAGTATCTGTCTTTAATGAAATTCTATTTCTCGGGAACTATTCGATCAATTTCGCCCAAATTTTGTATTTTGCCAAATAAAGTTTCTTTCTTTGAAACGAGGCAAAAGTTGCAAACCTTAGAATTTAATCTTTTATTTTGGCCATTCTTAAATAAAATAACAAAAAGTAACAAATATTCAATAAAAGTTATTTTTCACGCTGAATTATTTTTGGATAAATGAATTTTATAACTGTGTGAAAAGAAATTTCAATTTGCTTAAAAATTTCTCGAGATATAGCTAAATACGCAAAAAGTAAAATTAACAGTAATGGGTCTAAACTTTGGGGCGCTTTCCTGACCAAACTTTTGGGACTTTCTCAGTTTTCGGCTACCTCCTATATTTTGTGGGTCAAAAATCTGAATTCGTCGAAAAAAAAGTATGCTTATTCGGAGAAAGTACGTTTTCGTGCCTGATTTCATAATTTAAAATAATTTTAGGGGGTTTGCCCTAAATAATTAGCTTATTTAAAGTCAATCTCTCGAACCATTAAGATTGAGTCCTAAAACGTGGAGATACAATTATTAGATTAAAAATCTTTCAGGATGGTATCGGTTTTTCTTTCTTTTTATTTGTACACTGTGTGAATGCATTTTAAAGTTGGAAAAATTTACTAGAGTGTGTAAAGAACGGAAAACTTAATTTTAAGATATGCACATACTACTCAAATTCTGACAGAGTATCATATTGAATTATATTTATCGGGATAGAACTGATTTAATTAAATGGTAGACATGATATCATGAAATTGCCAAGAGATTTTAACACAAAATTGAATTTTACAGTTTAAATATTTAATAAATAGTTTTGCAATATTTGGTATTTAAATATTCGGTAGAAATTTAGAATAAATATAAAGTGGTAAAAATAAAACCTTTTCTATAACAATATTAAATAAAGTACGATTAATAATTCACGCTCATAAAATATACATTACTTTTTATTTTACAAAATCTCTTAGATTGCAAATAGGGTCTCGTTTCCCTCCTTAGTTGAAATTACTTCATTAGTGAAACTAAGAAATGATAGGATATAACGATTCCATCAATACAAATTATCAATAATTCGTTAGCAATAGACTTCTATTGCTTCTAATTATGAAAAGCGATGTAACAATGTTTTCAAAATAAGCTACTGTGCACAGCTATAAAATCGCGCAATTATTAATTAATTAGTATACGCCCGTGCAAATATTTTCTGTTTTAATAGTCTGACACGAAGTAAGGTCTATAGCTTTACCAATCAGCATCATCATCTACTGACAGACTTTTTTACTAATTTTAATACTTGATTGAAATGAATAATAACTTCCAAAGCAGAATATATTTGAAAATGCATCATGCAGTACTATTTTTTTACGATCTATTTTAATCGGTTTTTCACGTAGACGATCATTTTTAAAAAGTACGTAATTTGAGAATATCACACACAGAAACCGTTATTATATTTAAACTTCAGGGAAACGCAACTCTTTGTTCGAAATGTATGTTATTAGTCACTATATAGTTTGTTTTTCATCCTAGTAAAAACGAAAGTAGAAGACCCTGGTATCGTGAATTCGATACGAAAGAAAAAAACAACAAGGCCCGTGCAGCTTATGAAGCTCTGATTACAGTGACAGCGAGAATACCAGAAACAGCAGAGTACGCCGAATTTTCAAAAGGAGTGAAACATCTTGCATTAAAGAAATTTGGAAAACCTTATGGAAAGGAAGAGGTAAAGTCTTTAAATGTATATCAAGTGAATGTTCTAAATAGATGGACTAAATCCTTAAAATTTAAATGTAATCGTTTCTTTTATACACTAGCACACAAAGCAATGGTGGTACTCAAGGACGCGTTGTTTCAGTTGTATTGAAAGAATCTTAATAAAACCGAAAATATACGCTGTTTGTATGATGAATTAAAGATTTTGGTTTTAAAAAAAGATATTTCAAAATTTCGAAAACATTTGGTGTTGTAACGAAATAAAAAGAAAAGTAACAGCTCAAAAATCAAAGAATAGCTGAACAATTACCTACCCAGCATGATCATCAGATCTTAATCCTCGAGGCTTTTTATTCTGTGACCCTATCAACTATTAATAATTTGTAAATTGACTTGCTGAGTTTTCATAACGATCACGTTTATCAAGAACGTGTCACTGAAATTGACATGAAAATAAGCACTGTTTTTCATTCCTATTATATGTTGCTCGTGGCCAGTGATTATGTGGTGCTACGCTTTCATCCTCTTTCTTGATGAACAAGGTATGCGCATAGAGCAAGCGGATGCTCGAATAAATAAAATATTTGGTTATTCTTTGATTTGTGATTCGTTGTCTTCCTCTTTACTTCATTACAGAGCCATCTGTTGGAAAAATTTTGACTTATTTCTCAACGGAAACTTCAGCATCATAATCTAAATAACAATTAAATGAAGTATTCGCATCCACTTAGTGGAACCGAACCTTCAGCATATGAGTACCATCATTTAATTTTCTCAAAATTGTAATATCACTGTAAAAAAAAAGAGCTTCTCAAAATGGATCCAAAATAAATAATAACCGTATTTGAAAACCCCGTGTATTCAAAATTGAAACTGCATTTATAATTTTTGAGAAAAAAGGGGTAATCTCAATCGTGGTGTGGAGGGAGAAATGTGCGAGAGAAATATTCATTTTCTGCCGGCACGATTTGAACTTAGGATTACCGGTTTCGTAGTAGGATATGCTCTATCATAGTTAAGCACCCAAGCACAAGGGGAGTTAGGAAGGTTTACCTAGTGGCTACAGTAAGGACACATGATGACTAACTAATTTTCAATTTCAATATTACAAGGAGTTGAAATTTGGAAAATATGGTGTCAATATTTTAGTTAGGAGTAATTTTAATTTCACTTTTTGCTTATTTCGCTATATATAAAAAAGAAAATTGGAGTGAATGAAATGCATGTCATGATGCGTCATTACATCCAGCAAATCTTTGGATGTTTTAGCTCAAAAATGTCCTTCCATGGCAAGAAAAAAGAACGTTGATGTACAGTTTATATCTTAGAAAATTCATATGCAAAAAAAGAAGATATTTCTTTTTCGCAATTCATCATGCTCTCTTCTAGCTAATTCAAATAGATTGGTTGTTTTTTTCCTTAACATCTGAGACTTTAGCATAATAATTGAGTACCTGATAGTAAAAATAAGAATCAGTACCAAATTTAAATTAAAAGGAAACCAAATTTGATATCAAAGATTTAAACAGCAAAAATTTTATTTGTGTAAGTGGAGAGATGTTTTAATTTGACTGTAGAAATTAAAGTGTACAAATCATTTATTTGAAATTCCGATCAAGAATAATTGTAATTCGGTACACAATATTATGTAGACAGTTTAGCTTATTGAATTCGTTTTTAATATTTATGTAGTATTATTTAAAGTGTGCTGTAGTATTATTTAAACTTCAGTCTTTTACAAGATAATAATCTGAATTATTTTAGGTTAACATATATGTAACTGCTTTTCACGATGCTGTCATACTTTACTCCCTTGCTTTGAATGAAACCTTAAGCGAAGGATATAGCTTAAAAAACGGAACAATTGTAACTCAAAAAATGTGGAATAGAACATTTGAAGGTAAGTTCATTTGTTTTCTGATGAAGCTCTGATATGGTCAAGTTGACATCAGTATAAAGGAATTGCATACCATTTTAAACGTTTAGACAGTTGCTTCTGGTGATAATTTTTAAAGCAAATTTTTCTGCGTTGTATTTAGTACCGGAATTTTTACAGTGGAGCCATTTTTTATGGAGGATAAAATTGCTTTTCAAAGCCATTTAGATCACTATGAATGGAAAGAATTAAATAACTTTTAAATCAAAAATTAAAAATCTATAAGAAAATATACGTTGCAAGCTATCAAAATCAAATAGAATCATGCAAATATTTTAGAAAATAGTTCATCGGAAACTTAGACATATTTTGATCTTAATGAATCAACATGCCTCCCCTTCGATTTTACGACCTATTTCACTCATTTTGGGCATGTAGGTACTTTATTTAAGTCACACTAGAGATGAGATGCACTATGGGCTATTGGTGACGTTCTGGAAAACATCCCTGAGGAGGATCCGGAAATATGACATCACAATTTTGATCCTCTGCAGAGGGACACTCGTTTTGAGATAGATTTATCTTTATTCTATCACAATATCAGTTATAATTTTTCTATTCTTTTCACTGTTTATTATACATCTAGAAAGTTAAAAATGAAATAAAGAGAACACCTTTATAATTTTTGATCGATTGAAATCGATTGATTTTGATCGATTCTAATTTTTTCTACAGATTATATTTCAAATTATTAAATCAGACTCAAAACTTCATCTGAATAAACATACTATTACAATGTAGTAAATGAATTGAAATTGGCAGTAGATCATGGAGTGCAAAAAGTGTTCAAAGGCTTATCAGTGATGTAAAAAATAGCAGATCAAGTTGTACCTTTGAAAATTAGTGTTACAATGTATGTAACACATACCTTTCTTTTTGAATAAGGATTCTGTAACCTCAAAATAAGGGGTAACTGCAATTTGAAAAATATGATCGATCAAATATTTTCCCCTTTAAAGTTAGTTCGCTTCTTTTGTACTTCACCATTCATCGAGAATTTTTAAGCAAATCAAAAACTTCAAATAACTAATTTTCTTAATAATAAAATTCATTAATCCAAAGATTAATTATAAATTAAATGTAAATATAAATTTGATGCAAAATATATTTTTTTATAAACAATAAAAATACAAGTTTTCGGCAAATTCCTTCTACCCCATACCATATTTGAATAAGTAAGCAAGTAAGTCAATCTTTCTTTGATTTAAACTCTGGTCTCATCCTCTATGTAATTATTCTGCCTTATTGGTTACTATATCTCTATATTATCACATGAAAAATACCCCTAAAGAAATACTATATTTAAGTATTTAAAAAATAACATTTGAAATGGGAAAAGTGAATATTTTTTTTAAATTGACTTATCTTGACGAAGTTAATATCTCAAAAACGTACGAAAACTGAGTGTTTTATTGCCTTTAATGTTTAGCGAAAATTCTGCAAATTATGTATGATTATTCATTTCTTTTGCAAATAGAACAGAATATTACCTGATTAAGACATCTTAGCTTCAAAAATAAGCGCCCATTTTCAAGACTAGCGAGACGTGAATGCGAGGAAACAAAAGTGATTTGAAATAAAGACGTAAAGTTACCAACAAAAATGGGAAAATAAAGGTGAGAAAACTAAATTAGAAAAACACAGTAGTTGAGAGAGAACAAAAAGATGAAAAACATTATAAGAAAAACCAAAGTGTCCAAGAACGAAAAATCAGCTTAAAATGCATTTCCATGAGCTATAAAATAATAATTAAATGCAAAAAAAAAAAAACTTTTTTATCCTCGTTAAATTCACTAAATGAGGAAAAAATATTACTAAACACTCAAAGTTAAAATAGTTCAAAAAATATTTTATAATATTAACCACACGCAAAGAAAAAATAAATTTTCCCTCAAATCGAGTTGTACTTTCTCAATTAATTAATTGCTCTTTTCAGAACCTTTAAAAAATGTTCGCAAAACACACTAGCACTTAAACTATTGTATGTTTCATAAAAATTGTAGTCATGCAATCAGAGAAAAACTACAAAATGCTATTTACTTTTTATATAAATTTTAAAAATTAATAACAGGAATAACTTGAGAAAGTTTACTTATTATAGTACACATTCAGTCTCAAAAGTTTAAAATCAATTTTATATTCTGAATGAATAACTTTTAAACTTCTTAAATCTTAAACAATTCAAATATCGTTTTCAAATATCATTAATTTTAAAAGAAATATTCAATTAATTTATATTTTTTAATTTATTTTAAAAGTATCGAATTTTACAGTTATGAGTTTTCAGAATCCTTAGTATCAAGTCATAGTTTTGTTGTCATATTGATTTTTCATAAATTTCAGATAAATGTAACAACTAGCCAAAAATAAAAATATCCAATCTTAAATTGCATTGTGTTAGATTAAGTTAAAAAAAACTTATTAAAAGTTTTTTCAGATATTTGGGAGAAGCATTAAAAGCATTAAAAGAACCAAAGTAGTGATTAAAAATATGCATAAAGAAATTTGTCTTAAATAATAATTCCCTAAAATCGAGCATTTCTTAAGTGATAGTTCAGCGAGTATCCTCAAACTTAAAACTTCTTTGGTATAAATTTGAATATTTTTTTTTATTTTCCTATTTTATGATTTTCTATTCTTTTCTCTTCTTTTTTAGAGTTTTAAAGTGTTCGACCACTTTCCCACTTATTCAAACCTTATTTTTTTAGCATTTGAGCTTTCGCGCACACAAGCATGAAAGAAGAAGAGAAAAGTTTAAAAAGTAAAACCATCCACTAGAACCATAAAAAAGTTTATCTTCTTTTTTTTGGATAATAAATTATACTTCAAATATTTTAAAGAGATTTTGCGATACTGTAAAACGTGCCAATGTTGAAGAATACAAAGTCGATTTTTTTCCCTATAGAATAAGAAATACCAAACTTAGAAAGCAACTGTGTATTCTTGAAAAACAAAATTTTAGTAGCACTTTGTTTCTCAAAAATCTATTTTATATTCTAAACATAGCATCAAATAATGAATATGCATATCAAGTTTTTGTTCGGAAACATTTTTGAATAAATTCATAGTCTTAATTTACATTTTACAGTCAAAAACAAGTTCATAATACTTTAATGTAATATAACAATAAAAAAAACATGTCAAGTACATACTTTTAAGACACATACATTTTAAGATAGATTAATCAGAATATTTCTCAAACATTATATAGTCTATAAATTACAGAATTTTGAATGACTTTCCTGTTTGCTGCAAATGACACTATTTTAGGCTATAAGCTAAATTATTAATAATTTAATGCACAGGAGTATTTGGCTCTACGTAATCAATTTGTAAAAAAAAATATTCTTAGTTTCGAATTAATCTATTTTTAACGTCTCCAAAAGTCTTGTTATAAAGGTTATAAATTTTGAGTAACTTTCACACTAAGATCAAGGACATGCACTGTTTTCATTTTGCGGTTTTAAAATCTATTTGCTACCTAAGATATAATCTTATCAAGATACGAAAATAAACTTATTCGTTCTGTATATCTTTATATAACTTTCTCTCTAAAACCGAAGGTAAGCAAAACTTCTTTCCTCCGAAAAAGACCGTGAGCTATTTCATGAACCCATGAAACCCATGGGCTATCCAGTATGTGTTTTTGTCAGAAGGAGAGCAACCTATTAACAATCTTAAAAACATCAATCTTTATTCTTGTATTCTTGCCTTATTTCCGTCTGTCTTATATTACACTGCGGTGAAATTGAAAAAACAACGGCTTCACGATTGATTCAGAGAAAAGTGGTTTGACAACTTTTCTCCTTCTATTGCTAATGCTATGAATGCTAAAATCAAAATTCGAAAAACTAAAAAAAAAATTTTTTTGCAATATATTTAGCTTAATATATAAAGATGCCAAATATTTAAAAATCTCAATTTTGAAATATTTTGTTGCTTACGTTGATTGTTCAATTGCATGGCAGTACAGCCCTTCGCAAGAAACTTTTCCATTTGCCTCAAGTCTTGTGAATGACTTCATAACAAGTTCTTGGATGTAAACCAAGTACGGTTTCTGCTTTCTTATGCTTTAAATAGCATGAGCTGGAGAATTTTCTAATCTATTATCTTCCTAGCCCCTTTTTTACCTGTTATTTGAAATATAGGAAGGCAGAAGAGGTGAACACTTTGTCTGAGGTTAAGAACTCATGTCAAGATGTAGCGGATCAAGACTTGTTACAAAGTGGAAAAGTTGTTAGCAAATTGTCTAAATTATTTTATTTACTCATTTAATAAAGACAAATACCAGCAACTCGTCTATTTGCCACCATAGGTCTTGACCTGCTTCATATAGGCAAGCGTTCTTCTAAGCATGGTTATAATGCCTTACACTCTAATTTTTTCAAACCTTTCTCACGTCTACGTGACTTGAGGAGTTCAAATTGGCTCAGACCGTTCAGAACGAAGGAAGGCAGAAATCGAACTCCGTAGGCAGTTAAGAACGAGTACAAAGGTGTCTCTTATCAAAGCACGTGCAAAATTAAAAGTTTCTGGTGACTGACCTAATGCATTTCACTGCTAGTAAACAACACAATACGATTATTTGAGGAATAATCGACTAACTTAAACTAATAAAAAAATTACAAACTTGCTTACTACTGAACCAACACTTACAATCAGTCTTTGAATTATTACATACCAACTCATTTCTCTACAAATTCATTATTAAACGTAGACAATAGCTTTCAAAATAATTAACTGTCATATGACCTGCCTATTAGCTAATTCGCGTAAACTTATTAATTTGTTTGATAACTTCCTGGCTCATACTATTTAACTCCCTTAACAATATATCCTCTCAAAAGAATTCAAATATGAGATTAAAAATGACACATGAGTGAACTACATTTCTAATACATTACATTACTTAAATATTAATTAACTCATTCATATTTATAACTAGTTCACTAAAGCACAGTTGGCTCAATTATTAACAAACTAATCTTTCCGAAAATAAGCATCTCATTAATGCAGTATTATTATGAAAATTAACACTGCTTAAATAAACTATGAAACAAGCGAGAAATGAATCACAAATATACTTAAATAAAATTGAATACTAGTTTCGACGGTGCAATTGGATGTTATTTTAAGCGAATGATAGGATTGCGAAATCTATTTCTTATTAATTTTAGCTTGGTTCTCCTTTTATGTATCATTATCATGAAATTGCAATTCTTCTTAATATAATCCTTGACAATAAATTTATTCAAAAGTAAAAATAAAAAACAATAAAATCTTAAGTTTTGTTTTTAACAAAATGATGTTTGTTAAACCAAATGAAGAAAGATGTCCAACAGTCTGACAACACAGTAGAGAACATAATAAACTGAGAACATTTTGAAGTCAGGGTAAACTTTTAGGTTTTCCACTGAATTGAAAAATTTAAATATTTTGGAATGTTTTTCATAGATTGATGTATGACCCCTCGTTATTGATTGGCAGCTATCATTTGAGAAAATTGTAGACGTAAATTCTGATGGTTAAAGTTAAAGCATCCAAAAGATGGTATTTTCCAAATAAATTTGCTTGTTTGCTATAATTTAACACAAGATCCACCGAATTTTGGACTTACCTAAGACCGTCACTGAGGGTCAATTTGACGCTCATAAGAAATTGACTGAATTCCAAAGTAAATGATTTTTAATTGATAAACAATAATATACAATGAAAATACAATAATTAAAAATTGTTTGAGATTTCCTTTCTCAATTTTATTATTAAGATTGTAAAGAAAATATTACAATATACTCTAATTATTGCATTACAGACTATTTTATTCATAAGAGCGTTAGCCATAAGTAAATAGACAAAAGATACAAATACGAATAATGCAATTAGCACAACACAACATGTTTTAAAATGCTGTTTTATGCTCCATAATTAGTCAAATGTTAGAGCAGACGTGATATAGTATATATACGTGACGTAAAACTGATAACAAAAAGCTATCAGAAGTTTTATTCTGCCCCTTAAGATACTATAAGGTATGTTTCTTTTATTTTACTGTCAGAATTCTAACAATTTGGCTTTCAAAGAGCAAAGCCATAATTCATCGCCCTTCAACAAGCACAATAATTAGTTAGCAATGCGTAATTGTTGTAACAAAAGATTCTTTGAAAACTATCCATGCTTTGAGAGCAGCAGCTTTGTCATAAAATTTGTATAAAACTATGTGAGACACCAACAAGTTTCGCATCCTGTAGAATATTTCCTTAGCATCTACTCAGGTAAGTCATCGTCAGATTTCTTGCTATTGTGCTTAACTAAATAGTACTTAACTTCTACTCTGTGCTGTAGCCTGCGAAAACATTCGCACGAATAATATTTGAAATTATAACATTATTTTCTGTTGTAACTAAATAGCAAATGCATTGTTTCTATTCTTCAGTATAAAAGATGATGTCTGGGCAAAGAAGTTACAATAAAAAAGAAGGAAATTTTCTCTTGAATAGTCGTCCTATCACTATAATTTTTTTTGCTTCACAAGAAAAAATCATCTGCAAGTTTTACAACAGAAAATAAAATTGTTAGAAGCCCCGCTGTGCAAGTAGTTTAGATGTGGTTTCAATAATCGTAACACTATGTCTTTGCCAGATTGTAATTCAGCTGGTCATTTTTCAACTTGCACAAATAGACATTCAAAACATTTGTCATGGGTTTAATATCAGTCAAAAACCAGAACTTAGAGTAAAAGTTATGCAGCTTGTTCGTCATACGATAAATTTGTATTTTGATTCACATGGCAATGACTGTTTGCAAAAAAAAAGAAAAAACTATTTATTATCCAGGATTTTAACAAAAGGCAACTATTAATAGTCAGCATGTACGTAGTTTCAAGCACAGTAGCAAATTCGTTATTTATTGAAAAAGAGTTCAACTAGCTACTTCGGACATGCAATCTAAAATTCCAAAAAATGCAACGAAAACTATTGCATGACATTTCATTTTGACAGGGTTGTCCCCAATTTTTGTTCTACAAAACATATTCACGAAATTTGTAGATTTGTAAAATAAAGAAGGGCTTTATTTTTATTCTTTTACATCTTTTCTTTTTTTTCCTCATCTTTTGAGGGTCAAAATTACCCCTTTTGGCTGCTTTAGATTTTTCTATGTTTAGCTATTTTAATAATCAACTTAAAGGTATAAAATTTTGATACAGTATACTCAGAAAGTTTTTGAATATGCCAAAAGTTATGAACTTTAAAGATCGCAAGTATCTCCAAAAATAACGCAAAAAACGTTAAAAAAATATATAATAAAAATTACCCCAATGGCACATCTAGTGTTTAAAAAAAACGATTAAATACGTTTCCAAAAACATAGTGGCTATTTTTGAGAGGCTAAAAAATTCTCGGGGTCAAAGTTACCGGTCAGAATGTACCAGCTATCTGCAAGATGAGACACGAAAAAATGATTTTTAGAACGAAATCGAGCTTTATGTTTATATAAGTATACTATGGGTATGGGTAAATATCAGAGTAAAATTTATATACGGCATAGCATAGTAGAGTCTATGCAAAAGCAAGTAAAACTGATTTTGAAATCGGAGGGAGAATAAATTAAATATTAGTTACCCACAAAATGGATGCAAATTTCCGATGAACTGATATCTTCCAAAATATATGTTTGATTCAGGTATTCTAACTAGCTACTCAAATTTTGAATGTAGTGGATAAAGCAATTCACATCAAATAAAATTAAAAAATAAGTAGTAGTTAAAGTTATTGATAAATTTAACATCATTCAACATGTGATTTAAATTTTAACTCCATATTTGTGTATTTATGCAGAGCAATTTATCATATGTTTACTAAATATTTACGACAGATAAGTTAATCAAAATTCATTGTTTACTCTGTTATATAACAAAACACCAGTACTTCAGAATATTTGACATTTCATGTAATGTATTTACTCAGTCAATAGTTAGCAAACTATTCAGATCAATGTTAATGCTGAGCTAATATTACCTAATACATCTAATTTCTCGTTTTAGGCATTACTGGAAATGTTAGCATAAATGAAAAGGGGGATCGTTTTGTAGATTATTCATTACTTGATATGGATTCTGACACTGGAATATATGAGGTAATTTGAGCAAATAATTAATAAGTGATTTTATTATCATATTCTAATCTACTAATCTCAATCAGCTCAAATAAATCAATGACATTAACATAAATAAAATTATTGTTTTTTTTTTAAATTTTCGCAATTATGAAATACCTTTAATTTTTAGAATTGTATATATTTAACTTTTCACTTCAGATAAGCATGCACTCTTAATATTGAGAAAGGTTATTAATACTGTTATAAATGTAATTTTTTTATATAAATATAAGGTGATTTAAAATCCCCGATCAAAAAAAAAAAACTTATTATATTATCACCACTGTTTTAAAATATATAAAAAAATTTAACAAATTATTATTTAACTAAAAAATAAAAATAAAAATGTAATTGAAATATAAAGAATAATGTCACACTCTTAATTATTGTAAAATGACAAAATAACAGTAACGGTTTGTTCATTAAACAAAATTGAAAGCTTATTTATTTTTTTAATTGATTATTTAGTACTTACTTTTTAAGTTTTGATGGATTGTAATAATTAAGAAAACCAGAGAAGCGGATTCTGAAAAAAAAATTCTTGAATTTAAAAATTAATTCTATTAAATTTAAACTTGAAAGCTTCTTTGTGTTTTCTTTTTTTTTAAGTAAACACTACATTTTTTCAATATCCTGTGCTTATAGAGGAGCAAAAGGAGTGCTGTGTGTTAAAATAATTCAACGGAGTAGAGCTATTTAAATCATACTTTCGTACAACTATACCGTCTCTGATTTATAAAGAAACATTGAGTTCGGGCACATTAACAAATAAATAAGAGAGCTTCTTTCATAAGAAAATCTATTGTCAATATATATGTTGTTTGAATGAGCCTAACGTTATCATTTAAGTTCATTGGTTCCACAAGTTTTTACTTTAGTTTTTAAACTCAATAAAACCAGACTAAAGTTGCTAACAGGTTATTAAATGTATGATATAACTTTTATCTACTTCTATTGTTTTCTCCAGGTTACTTTGTCAGATAAATTTTGTTTTATAGGAAAATCACTTTGTTTAAATCGCTTTTAAGAGACTTAAATCGTCTTTCGTGTAATCCTAAATTGCAGTGGCTTCATTCTGAAGTGACGTATCGCTTCCAATTACTAGGTTTTTTTTTAAGTAATTTAAACTACACTACTTCCAAACTGTTGTAAAGAGATAGAGAATTTATCTTATTTTAACAACTGCCAAATTCCAAGCATCCTAACTAAACGGTACAAAATCTCAGATAAAATTACTGTAAAAAGTACCAGTACTTAGTGTGCCAGTACTTTTTACCGCAAAATTTATTTTTGTTGTAATATTTTACGAAACAAAATATCTCATGTATCGTAATTATTACGGTAATATTTAATGTAAAACGTTTTTTTGTTGGCTAAATTTTGTTTTTGTCTAGGAAAATCACTTTGTTTAAATCGCTTTTAAGAGACTTAAATCGTCTCTCATGTGATCCTAAATTGCAGTGGTTTCATTCTGAAGTGACGTATCGATTCCAATTACTGGATAGGATATGTCTTTTTAAGTAATTTAAACTGCACTACTTCCGAACTATTGTAAAGAGATAGAGAATTTATCATATATCAGCTGCCAAATTCCAAGCATCCTAACTAAACGGTACAAAATCTCAGATAAAATTACTGTAAAACGTACCAGTACTAAGTGTGCCAGTACTTTTTACCGCAAAATTCATTTTTACCGTAATATTTTACGAAACAAAATATCTGATGTATCGTAATTATTACGGTAATATTTAATGTAAAATCATTTAATCGAGGTAATTAAATAAATGTACAACGATTGAGAATACTGTACCATTCCGTGGCTGTAAATTTGGAGATTAATTTAACTGCACAAAAAGTGGTCACCATATGAAAAACACCCACATAAATACAGAATTTAATAAAGATACTTTAAAATTTAAAGATAAATTTTGTTTGCATCACATAATTTCCCAGAAAATGATAGAGTGATGGATTAACTATCATAATTAATAGAGTTTATTTTAGGTCGTAGCAAACTATTACGGAGTGAGCCAAGAATTTGTGGATGTTCCAAGAAAATACATTCGATGGGCAGGTAACAGAATTTCTCCACCATTAGATGTGCCTGAATGTGGTTTTGACGGCTCAAAATGTCAAGATGGTAAAGAACCTAGATATTATTTGTGTTTTTAGAAAGGTCAGAAGAAATATATCTTTTAAATGTCATTTAACCTAAAAACTTTTTTAAGGTCATTTTAAGCCATTCACGACCTTTTTGTTTTTGGAGTGTCATGAAATGTGATTTACTTATTAAATAAGGATATACAAACTATTCCAACTATTACTGAGTAACTCAAAATATGACTGACTATTTGAAAAGTCAAAATGTGGAAACTCAATAAGATCTAAATGCTTCGCTTGCTGCTTTCTACATTGGAAATCAGAATTTTATTTTTACAAAATTTTAAAGTTAATTAAAAAATTAATACTGCTGACTATGAAAAGTTGTAAGACAATGTTTTCAAGATAGCCCACATCAGCAGTGCCAACTTTCTTCAGCTTGAACACTAAATTAATGTACTCATGTGTAAATATATTCAATCAGATTGATCTGGCATGCAGCAGAATAATGTTTTATATTATTATTAAGTCAACAGTATCAACTTTTAACCAATTTTGTTAATACTTGAAACTTATATAGAATACTTACTGGCTTTTAGTCAGAATACAGTCAGCCATTTATTTTTCTTTAATTGGTAATTTAAAAGGAATAGGAATCGATAGGAATTTTCGAGATGAGTATTTTCCTTGGAGGTCAACCTTGTCTATATAAATTCAATGATAAATAGATGTAGGCTAGAAGAAAATATACGTAGGCCAAGGGCAGAAGAAAGATAGATAAAATGGCGGAAGAAAAAATGTTTAAAAAACAATCATTTTAGTGGTGCGTGAATTAACTACACAGTTACATAAAGTGGATAGCACATTGGGACAGAAGTAATTTTTTTGAGTAATATTTATTATAATCATTGTATCATTTTAAATGCTTACGCTATTTTTAAACTTTTAGAATTGTTTCCTCAGTACGTAATTGTCACATCTGTTTTGAGTGGGGTAATCATTGTCTTCATCATTATGTCATTTTTCATATACAGGTAAGCTTTTATTTTTTCATGAAACATGTTAACTTTAGACATAATGTACAAGGAAGCACTAAAAAATGAATTATGCTAATATTATTTTCATAATTTTGTATACATTTTTATTGCAGTATTTATTAACAAATATCAGAAATAAAATTCCTAACTTATGATAAAATTCCTAACTATAAAATTCCTAGCTATAAAATTCTATAGCTATAAAATATATATATATTCCTAGCTATAAAATATATAGAATTCCTAACTTTTTTTTTTGCAGTGGAAAAAATATCTAATAATATTCTTAAATTTGACGTCAAGTTTTAATGACTTACTTGTAACTTTCTTTCCTCTTCCAAGCTGCTTTGAACCTTCAAACCGTTAATTAGATTTTAATATTTACTTCAAGTAAATTTCTCTTGAAATAGAAAAAAAAGCACTTTGTGCCAATTCATAAGTACATTTATGCACAAAAAAATGAACTTTGAACATTTTTTTTAATGTTTTTTTTTTTTTTTTTTTTTTTTTTTATAAAAATAAATATAAGATTTAGTTAATAAAGGAATTTCTTTTACGGATCTCTCTTATTTGTTTAATAGTCTTTTAAAGTTTTAATTTTTTCCTTCTTTAAGCATTAAATATGAATATCAATTGCAGAATATTTTATTTTTGTTTTCCTTTTGTTTTTATTTATTTCAGAAAGTTCTTTATTTTAAACAATATTAATAACTATATCAATATGATTTCTAAAAAAATATATTAACAGGTAAAGTATTGCAGAAACGGACAAAATTGAAAATAGAAAAATGAATGTGCGTTTAAGTTAAATATTTTCATTTATTAATTCACTCCTTATGAAATTAATATTTAAAGATTAAAATGTTTTGATATTTAAGTGGTGCAACCATGCAACCAGGAAAGTGGCGCAACCAAGACTTATTTTAATCCTAACTTTAATTTATGATATGAGCTTAATTTCCTTATTCAAAATTACAATTTTATGAAAAATTTGCAAACTTTTTTTTTCAAAAGATGATTACAAAAATATAATAAGATATATATTTCTGCAAAACTGAATTGATTATTGTAATTACTATATTTAATTTTAATGAAGCTCAAATAATGTGTATACTTTGATGCATATACTTTATGTCAAGATACGATGAAACCAATTTATCTTAATTTTGCCACCAAAATATTGAATTAAACGAAAATTTATAAATATTTTTAATTGGAGCAGGATCAATCATTTTCATTCGAAAAAGCTAAAATGTTATTCAATTTAGCACAAGTTTCTAACTTGAGAAAGGAAGGAGAAAATTTATTGTTTTGGTTACTATACTTTAATTTAATGACACTTCAAATGTATATGATTTTACTTAAATTTAGGTACAGATTTATTGTTTTGATTAATAAAATATTTCTCTAATAAAACTGAAATAATTTTTCAGTACAAATAATAAGAGAACATCTGTATTTTTTATCAGGGTTTATATTATTATTTTGTAATAAAAAAATTGTTTAATATGAAGTCATCTTATTGAATCTCAAAAAGTAGTGCATAACCATTACAAATTCGAACGCATTACTCATATAATTATGTTTTTATACTTAAGAATAAAAATTTTTTTCATTTAAAATAAATAGGGCGTGTAAAGTTTTTTGTAAAAAAAAAAATCAATTTTCTTATAGGCATTTTCAATTAGAGGCCGAACTTGCTTCCATGACTTGGAAAATTCGATGGGAAGATATTGTGGATCCAAAACATGGCATGCGAAAGCGATCGAGCTCAAGGCAAAGTTTAAATCGAATTAGTCTTGGGGTAAATACAACAATTATTATTTTTTATCCGCAGCTTCGCATTCTACCTTCAAAACTTATTATTTTTTTTAAGTACTAGCTTCTTCAGAAGGCATATTATTGGTACCAAACTCAAAAATTCTATAAACAATGATTTTTTTCATTACTTTAAAAATAACGCAACTTTTCCGAATCGTGAAAATATGATGCTTTCGCTCATATTGAAAACAAGGTAAGATTTGGTTTATTTTATTTCTATATTGGACTATTTTTTCTCCATATTGAACGAGTTAAGATTAAACTTTGAAGATTTCTTTTAGCATGATCACTTTTTTCTTGTTTTATACTTTTGTTTCTGCCACGTTCATTTTTGTTATTTTACTTTAATTTGCCATTTCAAAATTTGTTAAAGGTTTTTAACAGTATTTCATATTTAATAAAAACTGTAATGTAGTAAAAAATATAAAATATCATTTTTTATTTATTTTTTTAAGCGTTTCTGTCAAAAACATGCCGAGACCTAACTTAAAGATGGGTATTTTTATTCAAAATAAATGAACATAAATATTAAAATATTGAAGTAGAATTAAAACAATTACTTGGGAAAAAATAAAAATACCTCTCTTTTTCAAAAATTTGCTATCATTTTTCTTTGTTTTCTTTAATGGTAAATCAGAAAAAAGAAAAATAGTGCTTAGCTTGCATTTTTGTGGTTACAAATGTTCAAATAGGAGTTGTTTTTATTTATTTGTTATTTCTTACATGCTCTATTTATAAAACAAAATAAAATATTTTCTATTTCATTTCCTTCGAGGTGATTTTCCTCTTTGGTCGACGGAGATCTGCAATTATCATGGGATTAGTAGACACCAAATTAGAACTTTTTACAAACTTTCATTGATGTCGCGACCTTAAAATTAGGGCATTCATGGGAAAAATTCTTCTATAAAATTCCATCTTAATCCGGGGAAAATCTCGAAACTTTTATGGGATTTTATTGTAACTTTTATTTTCTATATGCTGATAAATTCTTTTAATTCTTTAAACATGTTTTTTGAGATCTCTTTCTATCCTCTTTCGCAATGCTCGCTTTATTCCTTAGGCAAGTGGTTCACAAAAGGCATTTAGTGGAGCCCTAGAGTTCCGTGGAGCAATAAAAAGGGTTTCGGGAGTTAGTACTCTTATGACCAGTAATTATTGAAACCTCCGATTATATTTAGACAAAACCTATAATTCATAATTGTTTTAATCTTTCGGTAGACTTCATAAAATTATTTCAAGTAAAATGCAAATGAAATAGAAATGACATTTTTAAAAATATATATATATAATATTTCTAACAACAATGTATGGAACAAATTATGAAAAAAAAACAAGCATTTATAAAATATTGTGTCAGCATTTCTTATCGCGCTTTTTAAATCAAAATAAACTAACCAAATTCTTTAATAAATAAATACGTTTTCCTAATAACCATTTTTAACGTTTACAGCAGTTCTTTTAAATTCTAATTTCAAAAGTAAACCATAATTATGCTTATTCTATTGATTTTCAGATTATATATCTACACTGGAAACAAATTCATTATTAGAGTAGATACAACAGAAAGGATAGATATAAAAATGTAAATTTCTGTCCGACATAAAACCTTATTTAAGATTATTAATGATGAAATAATGAAAAATCTTTTTTACTCTAACTTATTATTTTAAAAATAATCTTCTATAAGTTATAACATCTATATTCTATCTTTATCTATAAAGTCAAGGTTCCACTGAAAGAAGATTGCTTATTTAGGGTTCCGTAGCCGAAAAAAATTGCGAATCACTTCCTTTGGTGATCAAATTGATTATGATACTTTTAATAACGCAATAATCAAAAGTATTTTGTAAGATTTTAGTTTTTCTCCCTTCTTAAACGTTAATTTGTGACCATAATGTGATTTATTTTCTTAACTTTTAAGGACGGAGTTACATTTCAAAAAAAGTTTTAAAAATATATATTAAGGGCTGTGATTATGTGATCACTCGGCATAAATCTTAATTTTAAAATTTTGTTTTGATTACGTTTTTCTTTCATTTAACAATAACTTAATTATTTCTTGTCACAGAGTTCGTGTCCATCGGATGCTTTGTCTATTACTGATTTTAACAGGCAAATCTTTGTGCGTAATGGTTATTACAAAGTAAGTAAAAAATTATTATCTAATAATGAAGAGTTTTTATAAATGTTTGTTGTGCTTATTATCTATCAGTTTATAGTTTATCTAAAGACAAACTTTAAAAATATGAAATTACATGTAAAAATTGTTTGTCCTTTTTAATTTCATTATAGAAACAAATTATCCGATATATAAATAGTAGTTCACAAAAAAGTATGAAAGAGAATTATTGAGTTCTCGCCAAATAGAGAGAGAGATAACAAAATCAATCATATTGAGTATATTTAATGGATCGTAATAAATAGCAATTAATTAACTATTTTGAGGAAAAAATATTTAATAGTCAGGCATTTTTTATTGGTAATAATATCCTCCTTTTGTTTACACATTGAATGTTATTTCAAACATAAATACTTATTTACTCTGTATTTAAAATAATTAATAACAACCAAATGTGATAGTAGAATCATTTTTCGGAAATAAAATTTAAAAAAAAAGTGCCCGGTGAAATGTAAGAATAGGCCACATCGGAAGAAAGTTTTATTTCTCTAAAAAAGGGTAAATTGTTGAAAAACATCCGGTTTTATAAATACGCAAGAAGTTATTTTTAAATATTGCATTGTGAGCGAAATCTGGAAATTTGAAAAATACCTATTTGAAACTATAACTACTGAACTGTTTAATGAGATAATGCAATCTTTGAATATGCAATCTTTGAATATGCAACCTTTGATAATGTTACCTCATTGATAATGCAACCTTTGATAATGCAACAGTGTGGCTAAACACAATATTGCTATAAGCCTTTACCTTTAAAATATAAGACATTTTTAATTTTAAATTAATCACATACATTTTCGGTTCAAAATTGTTCTATTTCAAAATTTTCAATGCTAACTTTAACATTGAATTCGAAATCGAAATTAAAATTTTGAATGCAAACTAAAATAACATTTTACAGTCAATGTTCGAATTCGTACACTCAGATGTTAAAATTATTAGCATATTTAAGATGGAACTCACAATTTTAAATAACTCTTTTATTTCAAACTAGCTGTACCCTGCGTGCGTTGCAACGCTTTCAATTTGAATTTTGTATTTAAGTGTGTAAATGACATTTGCGATTATGATTTGAAATGCAAATTTTATTTAATGGTGAAAAAAAGCAGTTAATTCTCTAGGATATCATTAGTGCATTTTCAAACAGACATGTATGGTGATGCACACGGAGCATGAAACATATTTTGGACAATGATCTGAAATAAGACTGGATCTATGGTGACATCAAGAATTTCTGCTGATATCTGATCAGTTTTAGAAG